CGTCTTGTGTTTACATTAGCGCCCAGAGACAGTACACTGCAGTACAAAAGATGTGTACACTTCTGAAATAACTTTCCTTGCCTTACATCCTTGTGTTAAATCAAATATTTGAATTTGTAAATATATGAACAAAATTCAAATATTGTTTATTGTTAAATATCTACAACGTAATAATAATACAATTAAATATCAACAGTTTTTCTTTATATAAAACGGGGTCATAAAGAATCAGTCATATGGCCGACTGTATAAGCGTAATTTCAAGTGACCCTGCCCATACAAGGATGACAATGCCCGATTCATAATAATATCCTTTTCTTATTTAATTTATGTAAATTACAAGATCATNAAAGGAATTGAGTTTTTGCCACAAACTCTGATATTCTAATTTCAATATCGTTGCAACCCAATGTCGTAGACCTTTAATATTTCAAACTATGAATGCTATTAGATCAAATAATGTAAGTTTGAAATATTAAAGGTGTACATCATAAGGTTGTAAAGATATAAATTTTACAAAAACTGAATTTGTGACAAAGACTCATTTCCTTTAATGCAATATTTGATCAGACAAAAGTTTGGAGGGTATTGTTGTGAATCAGAATATATTTTATTTCTTTTCTTAATCTTTTAGTTTGGTTGAGTGCAATGCAATGCAATGTAGAATGTAGATTGCCTGAGGAAGGGAAATGTAATATTAAAAGAGCACCCCCATGGGGGGGGGGACACGCGAAGGGGGGCTGCCCCACCTCGTGCACCCCTGGTAAATTCGATATCAATGTTTTTGATTTTGAATACTGATTATTTTTAATTTCGGGTTCTTTAAAAGTGAATTGCGCATTTCTTTTCAGGGAAACAAAAAAAAATAAAAGTGATTTTTAATTCTTATTTTCGATTTGTAAAATGTAAGAAAAGAATATTTAATTTACGAGTTTAATTTTTATTTTTACAGGTGCCCTTGGCAAACTAGGCATAAGCAACAATAATCCTTCAATGTTTATTTAGATTTGCCTTAAATATGCACTTCTCCCTCCCCCCGTTTAGGGAAAAGGGGTGGGTGAACAATTTGAAAGGGTGATGGTTTAGTTTGGTTTGGATGTAAGATTAAGAAGAACCGGAGGACGGTATCCATTCATCCCATCCTCCAATACAGGGATATATATATCCAATACTTAACACACAATTATTTCTCCAAAATCTAATTGTCAAAAAAATCAAAAATTGTAAAAGATAATATTTATTATTAAATTGTTGAAAATAAATCCCCCTGGTCTGCACCCCTCCATCTTACAGCTGATATCTGGATCTAGTTCTGGGACAATAACAACACAGATTTTTCACGGATTTTTACAAGAAACCGGGTTTTCTCCTGTACACAGTGTACTGTAGAATTTACAGGAGAAAAATAAGTTGCGAAGTTTAGTGAATAAATATTTGATAATATTCTGTCAATGTCGTAATTTATAATTTTGTATTTATATAATATCTTAAACTTGTATCTTTCAACCAAAAAACATCGTATTTTTGTCTTTTTTAACAATTTCAAGGGTTTTAGACTATAACTTGGTTACCTACATATTATAAGCATAAATCAGTACAGTCTTACAATCAAGAAAAGTATTTCTTGTGTTTTTCAACTTTATATTTGATCAACAAAGGCATAACAGAATGAAAACAATATATAAACAATAATTGAAAAAATCATTTAAACTTTATTTTTTTAAGCTTGGTGTTGTGATGACATTTCCCTAACTTATTTGGAGGTGCGCCATGTTGTTTAAATATTTCCGTTTACAATTGGGTTTTTTGAGATTGTTCATTAACGAAAGTTCCCTGAAAACATGGTTCGGTCGAAAAAGAAAAAATCTTTCCATGAATCTAAAATGCAAGAGCTACTTTTTCCCAGGAGACAGACTTGACACAAAACTTTCTTAAAAAATCAGATTTAAAAAAAAAAGTTTTAAAGTTTAAGTTTGCTTTTATCCTGAGAGAAAAAAGGAAAAACGAATCAAGAATTATTCTAATAATACGTTCGTCTTTGGTCAGTTTTTTTGCATATATTTTCATTTCGGGGTTCAATTTGGAATGGATGATATTTTATTCTTATTTTCATTTTTATTTACCATACAGTATTTTTATATACAGTACAGTAATTTTATGTACAGTACAGTATTTGTATGTACAGTATAGTATTTTTATGTACAGTGCAGTATTTTTTTTACCATACAGTATTTTTATTACAGTATAGTATTTGTATGTACAGTACAGTATTTTTATACACAGTGCAGTATTTTTATACACAGTATTTTCATTACAGTACAGTATTTGTATGTACAGTATAGTATTTGTATGTACAGTATAGTATTTGTATGTACAGTACAGTATTTTTATTTACAGAACAGTAATTTTATGTACAGCACAGTATTTGTGTAATACAGTACAGTATTTCTATGTACCTTACAGTGATAAAAGTGATAATCTTCTATTTACTTTTAAGCATAAAAGTTCACCAAGGATTTAGATTTTTTCTTGTTAAAAGGGATGTATTACTAAAATGTTCAGAGCTAAAAACTTTAGAATTCTGGATACTAAAATCAATGCTTGATCTCCTTTTTTTATTAATCTCAAAATGTATTTAATCTTTAGTTTGAATCCAGAAAAGTGTATAATATTCGACCAATGAAGTGGCGTATCATGTATGTAGAATCCCGAACAGCCAATCAGGAGCCTTGAAGTTTGAAATTTTGCGCGCCATTTAATGAGAGAGCTCTAATTGGTTTGAATCTGGTATGGATATCCGAAAATAGAGAAAAAAGTGGATTCAGCAGGAAATTAAAAGTGTCCGCATTGGATATTCAGATTAAGTGATACGGAGGGGAAAATATCGTAATTAATGTAGGGTCATTGAATAGAATGGACTAGACTTGAGTTTGCTTCAATTTGTCGTAAAACTTACTTTTAATTAAAAATGTTTCAAAAAGTTATAATCATTAATGTAACCTAATACAAGGGAAAACTTTGCAAATAAATTTTGAAAGTTTAGAAACATGTTTTTAAAAAAATATCCAATTTTTATTTCAATGAATCAACTGTCGATGCAATTTAAAGAGACTGTACACTTTATTTAAAGAGACTGTACACTTTATTTATATCTTTAAAGAATCCCTAAAGGGAGTGTTCGCGGAAAAAAGGGAGTAAAAGTCGATGTCGGAGAAAATTGTTAAAAACGTTTTCTACCTTTTTCTCCGTATAGACGCAGCAAATAAAAGTAAAATTAGTAGATATTGACATCAAATTCAATCCGTCATCAACCTACACCCCCTTTATTTTTTGCGAACACTCCCTTTAACTTTATAAAATTGTTTTCTTATCCTTTAAATTCCTTTAATCTACATTATTTAATCACAAATTTAACATTTTAAACAAAATTTGTAATCTAAGTTGAAAATAGCAGTTTGGAAGTGTACTCGAGATTTTAATGAGCTAATTAGAGTCTTCAAACAGATTATTTAGTACCCTTGACAATTTGGCATTTTAACTTTCATGTCAAACTTGAAAATATTTGAAAATACTTTTATGGATTTATTCATTTAAATATTACACAATACACACGGTGGAATTAAACAAAACAAAGGGTTTGCACACTTTCATTAGAAAAAACCTATCATTGTGTTCCACACAGCGAATGCTCTGATAGAACTTATCGAAAAGATGAAATTCTGAATCTTTTCGATTCCACCAAGACAAAAGTTCTGTCAATTTTTTGCATTTTCACTTTACAGTAAAAGTAAGAAAACAATGGAATAGGATGACGACATTATAGCAATACTTAAGTGTATTTAATGTTTTTGCAATGCTGCGAATCATGTTGATTTTAATATTATAACTTGATTCTAAAAGTTGTCGTTATATTTCAAAGTTATCTGCTTATCACTGTACGTTAACGTTTTATTGAAGGTTTACTATTAAACTGGAAAATTCAGTTTTTAAGAACATTTTTGATGCACAACTTGTAACTGATAGTGTCCATATTTTTTTAGAAACACCTTATGAAAACAAACTGAAATTCAATCCGTTTTCACAGATATCACGCACCCCTGACCCTTTAGTAAAAGTAAATTCAACCTAAAGTCTGACCGCGTCAACCTTGTTGCACCGGCTAGTCCTATTGAGTGTCTGCTGTATTTACCCAATGTCCGGGGGGATATAGTACAAACATGGACCGGAAAGGTTGACCCGGCTCGGAAATTCAAGTGTACTACGGCGCCCCGTGATATGTTACAGTGTAACTGTCTATATATTGTTTTTGGTAATTTTAGAAAATAACTAAAAAAATGTTAAATTCATTCTTTCTTAAACATTTCACAGAGAAGATTGATTTTTGCTGGATTTTAGCACTGAGTCTGAAATAGACTTTGTTCAGATCCTAAATTGTAAAATTATATTTTATTTGTATTTAAAAAAGGTTAGATTTAAAAGTTTTAATAAAGATCAAAAAAATGAATAATTTTGGTTAATTCTATTTTTAAAAATATCCACCTATCTTGGATAAATTTGTAAATGCTTTTTCTATTTGTTTATCTTTTTCTTTTATTTCAATAAATCTTTAAGAAAAATGGTGGAACTGAAAATCCTTGGAGAAAAAAGAATTTTTATTCTTTCTCTAGTTCCTGTTCTTGTATACCTTAATAGTATTATTATTATTATTATTATTATTATTATTATTATTATTATTATTATTATTTAAGGGTTTAAGGTTGCTTTGTACCCCCCTTTTTCAGTAACAATTTTAGCCTTACACTATTAAAATCGAATTTTTTTCATCATTCTGCAATAAAGCATATCTTTTGATCTTATGTTGAAATTGGTGCATTTTCAAAAAAACAAAATTTCGACATTTTTATGCAAAAGTTTTCAAATTTGACCACGTGAGTTGCCTAAACAAAGGAATTGCCACAAACTCTGATTTTATAATTCCTATATCTTTGCAATCCAATGTCGTTGACGTTAGATGTTTCAAACTATGAATTAAATACCTAAGTTTTAAATATCAAGGGTTTATATTCTATTCCATCTGAGTCTAAAACTAAAGAATGCGCGAATTTTAAGTTCGAGGTTAAAAGTTCTGTAAAATAATGAATAGCTACTTAAATATTAAACTTTCTCAATTTAAAATTTGAATTTCCCGGGAAAATCTGAACCAATCAGAGAAAAGGATTTACGGAGAATATTACATAACCATCGCTAATCAGCTGTTATTGCGTAACTGAAAAAAAACATATTTCGAGTTACAACCGTTTTTTGGGTTTACATGCAAAAATTAATTTATCTAAAACGTGAAATTTCTTTAACAAGGTTTTCACTTTTAGATATATCGTAAAGTTGAATGCCGCTTTCTCAGCTGTATGATGATTGAATAATAGACAAATAGGGAAAATGCGGGATTTCAAGATTTTAACCTGTGTTTAAATTTTAACTTGTCGATTTCGGCGAGTTAAATATTTAACCACAGGGTTAAATATTTAACCTCACGGTTAAGGTTCAGGTTTAAATTAAGTCAGAAGTGGCATTTAATCATGAACTTAAAATTTAAGTCAAAACTTTTCGTTCTTTAGTTTTGGACTCAGGTTGCAAAGGTATGGAGATTAGAAAATTCGAGTTTGTGGCAAACACTCGATTTCTTTATTGGATACAAACAAGCAAACAAACATTTACATGGAAAACCCAAATTTTAAGCATTATAACGTCTTTTATTATTATTTATATATTTTTTTATTATCTATATAATAAAACAAGACATTCGTATATTTATATATGTTGCGTATAGCCGGCCAAACGGCCGGACCGAGTGGGCTGAAAATTTTTGTGGACACTCATTTAGTTTTTTTTAATTTCTTTTCTTTCCACGGACAACGCCGGGCCCTACAGCTAGTTATATATTAAAGGAGAATTTGTCCATGATGATATACCAGCAATTGTAAAGAACCCTGACGTAACCGGCTCATCAGGTTAGATTTTTGAATAATTTAAAGGAACTGTTTACGTTTTTTGGAATTAGAAACGTAATCACTCAAAGATACCTGAAGCATTGACCTTTTTTGTCTAAATGAGCAATTTTATCGTAAAAAACTGGGGTTCATTTAAATTTCGAAGATTTTGACATTTTATTCATTGGATTACTTTAGCTTAAAGAAGGGATACTATAATCGTTATGCTAATCTAATTTTCATTTAAGATATACGATTAAACATAGATAAAATCTACAAAATTTACAAGAAAACTAGATTTTTAAAAACTTTTGATTAAAGGTTCGATAATTACGCTATTCAGGGACGTTTTCGAGTTTAGATTTTTTTTTAACATTTTGATTTGAAAAAGTTAGGATATTATTTTAATAAAGGTGAACAATTCCTTTAAATGAGAATTTATAAATATTTATTTTCAGGTTTTATAAACCTTCTACAGTCCGATTACTGGGGGGATAATCTACAGGATTCAAGGGAGATGCAATTATAATTATTTAAAACTTGAAGGAAAGATTGCAATTTTAACATTTTGAATTTTACTTGAAATTTTGAATCCACATTGACATAGAACGAAGACTTTTCCCTGTTCAAGCGTAATTCTAAGTTTATACCCTTCATGCAAAGATGGCAATGCCGCAGTTCTCTTGAAACCTTTATCTTATCAATATTGTAGAAGATATTGTCATTTTTTCTAGGTTTAAAAGTGTTTATTTTTATATGTTTCCCTGTTGTAGAAACCACAATTGGAAAATTATAAATTTTATTAATTATCAATTAAAGATATTAATGTCTAATCATACTTGATCAGACTAAGCTGTAAACCCTATAAAGGCTGGCNTGGTCTTCCTTAAGGCCTTAGAGAATATGTATAGGGTTGAAATGCAAGTGCATATCCCAATTTTTGTAAGGCCAGCTGATTGAAATAAAAATTAAACCTATAACTTTCATAGTTTGGGTGCCAGGGAGGATTGAAAAAGATGCCAAAAAAAGGTTCAGAATACCATTGTTAACCGGGCATTGCCATCTTAACATGAAAGGTCACCAGAAATTACGCTTATACAGTCCCTTTAAAAGGTCTTGATGCAACTAAGTCAAAATCTAATAAAGGAATTGAGTCTTTGCCACAAACGTTGAGTTTTTAATCCCTTTATCTTTGCAAGTTTGAAATAACACAGGTTTACACCATTAGGTTACAAAGATATTGGGATTTGAAAATTTAATTTTGCTACAAAGACTCAAGTCCTTTAAAGATGATAGATGTTAGAACTTATTTATTTTGAATTTTAGGATCGTGGATTTAATTACTAGTTAATTTAATCATTCTTTGATATCCTGTGGTGGTCATACCCTGCTAGGATAACTTTAATAAAGGGCCCTTCAAGCATAATAGATCTTCAAATTTAACAAATTTTAAAGCCCCCACATGGGATTTCGAGATCAAGCGTTAAGATTACCGATACTCAACAAAAAAGCGCTGACCTTGTATAAGGTTGATCATTAAGAAAAGAAAAAAAATAATTGTTAAGATCTCATAAATCCTTCCGCCCACTCACCACCGCTACCTTCAGACTAACTGCTACCATTTTTGGTCTAAGGAAACTAAAGCAAATATTATAATTTTTATATTTTTGTTTTGTTACAGAAGATTTTACAAGAGCCATTAGTAAGAAAATTTGATATTTAACCGTAAAATTTAAACTTTCCAACAACATTAAAGTCATAAAATGAAGAAGATGTTTATTACATGACCTTTTAGGTTGGTTAAATCCTTAAGTCACTATAGAGAGAAGCAGCAGATTAAAATAAATAATTTTAAGCTAGAAAAATAAGAAAAAAACGATGTCATTCATCTTTGATTTGACATAATTTTAATGGGCACCGTAGTTAATCGAAGTCTTTAGTTTCTTTAAACTAACAATAAATCTTGTTTTGCCATTTTGAACCAAGAAATAAATATGAAATTATTTGGTTTGGTTTAGTCCTGTTTGGTATCACGTGATCAACATTCTTCTGCATTCCTTTGTTTCCTCTTTCCTCTACTTTATTCTAATTAAAAGGATACAGCTTAACAAGGTAAGTGTGTGTAGTAGGATAAAGATAAAACGAATAGAACCGTTTTTAACGGTTCTACGTCGTGTTTTAAAAACTTCGCGTCCAAGAAAATTAGGTAGTTGATCTTAAAAAGACGATGTTTTAATTTCAACAGGTAAAAATTATTCAAGTTTGATATGTTTTTTTTTTATAAAAGCTCTATGTACCGAATGCACCTATACATAAAATGGTACAATAAGGAGAATTTGATTTAAAAACTTTTTATTTCTTTGACAAACTCTAGTTTTTAGCGCGAAACCAACAACAAAATCGGGGAAAACAAAATTTAAGCATTTGAGCCATAATTGGCTGGTGGATATTCTAACTAAGACGACTGAGATTGATTGATTGATTGATTTAGGTTAGACTGGTTATACTCAAGTCTTTTGCTAAAAAATATTTAATTACTAAAATTATCAAAGGCTATGAACTGCAAAAAATATTATGAATCTTATGCAAAAATATGTCACATTGAAAAAATATAAAGTTACTTGCACCTGCAATATATTTTTGTGTACACAACCTGCCGCTATAGTTATAGTTATAGTTAGTTATATAGTTATAGTTATTATTGGAACAAAATATTCATGTCCAAATATCCTTTTTTTAAATTTAAAAATAGAAAAAACAAGTAAACAAATAAAATTCGAGAAGAAACCTCACCGAAGATTGGAGGAACTTCATGAAAGCAAGGTTGTATAATAAGGATAGCTACTCTCGATGCGGAAAATGAACGGAAAATGTCGTATCCTAGGATAGATAGATAAATACCTAATATGACGTCACTTGCCTTTATAATTAGTGACATCATATTGGGCAAGAATGTAATGCAAGGAAAATTAATTGCAGTATACATATTAAAACCAGTTCTCTCTGGGCGGAATTTGTAAACAAGAAAAGATGCCTCAGTGTTACTTTAGTATCCTAGGAGGTTAAAAGCATTGAATTTTGATAATTTTGATAATTCACATAATAGTTTCCTATGACCAGAATATTTCATTGATTATTTATGTGAAAGATGGATCCCATTTCAGGCTTCGATATCCGTCTTGTGTTTACATTACCGCCCAGAGACAGTACACTGCAGTACAAAATATGCGTACACTTCTGAAATAACTTTCCTTGCATTAAATCCTTGATATTGGGTATTTATCTATCCATCTTAGGAGACGTCATTTTCCGTACAATGGAGCGCATCGAGAGTAACTAACCATATTTTATAACCTTGTTAATTTAAATTGATATTAAGATATTATTATTGTTTTACCCATGAAGAAACTACACTAATTGAAACGTTTATAAAAATTGCAATTTGAATAATATTATGATTGGTCTCGTTATGAATAAAGTACTTCTAAAACGAACCTAAATCATGTTTAAAACTATAATTGGGATTTACAAATAGATATTCAAGGTGAGCAGACATTGTTCAGGACTTTTGAATATATTCTTATAAAAGCTGAACCACGGTAATTACAATAATTACAATAATTATAATAATTATAATAATTATAATAATTATAATAATTACGATAATTAAAACAGTTTATTGGAATAAGATTATGTATGTGAACTACTTTGGTTCAAGTTTCATCGAAATCAAACTTTGTTCTGAAAGTCTTCTTTGGATACTTGTACTCCCTTGGTGATGACAGCTACCAGGCGCCTAAGGATGGACTCAATCATTTTAATAGTGTCGCCATGTCACTGTCCCATTGTGCCATTAGAATACATCTTTGCAATCATCAAGCAGAGGTTAGACGAGGAGGAGATCACAAACCTCAACTTCCTGAAGCTTAACATCAAGAAGATATGGAGTGAACTTGACAGTGAAAAGTTGTTCTGAAGAAAAACACTCTCAGTACAGCTATATCTACGTCACAAGTGTCAATTCAATTTTATGTGCCAGACAAAGCAGTAAATAATAGTGATTGGTCAATAGTTTCTGCTGTCACCTATTGTACCTGATCATCTTAATAGGATTTCTTTTTATCATTAGAAACATTATGTTAAGTGCATTTAACCTGAAAAAGAACTTAAAGTAAAAGTATTTTGAAAAAAATAAAATTTGAAAGTCCAACAGTTTGATGGCTTTAAAAAAATTTAGACAGATGACAGTTCTGGACTTTGAAACTATTTAATGGATTGTAGACACAATTTCTATTAGACTGTAGATTATCTATATTATAAAACAATACATTACTATATATATAAATATATATAAATATGGTTGCCTATAGGGGCCGGGGGTGTTACAGGCTAAAAAAAATCGAAATGTTTTTTTCAACATTTTTTTTTGTTCCACGAGAAACGCCGGGCCCTTTAACAAGTTATTGATAAAAAATGTTTCAGTAATTGTTTTAGTTCAGGCTACTCTTTTTTTAATGACATGAAATAAAAAAAAAATGTTCTCACATATTAATATTTAAATTTGTCGAGTTAAAGTTGTGTTCTTATGTGCAGTCATTAGCTAAATATAAAATAAAAACATTAATATACAGGGTTACCTACAAAGAATGAGACCTCAGAGACGATTGTAAAGGATTCATATTGTCTGTTTCATATTATTCCCTGTAAACTTATTTATAACTTTGCCAAGTCAAAAAATAGGACATTGAAAGACTGAATTCAAAGCAGAAAGCTTAATTTAACCCTGAGATTGTCAACTTTAAGAGTTTTAGGTCGTCTTTACAGTCTCATTCTTTGTGGGTAACCCTATATATGAAAAATAATTCTTTTTTAAATCAGGAAACGTCTAGTTTGATTTCCCTTCTCTTCTCTCTTCATCCTATTCATACTGAAGCAGTTTCAGGAATAGTTGGTAAGCTTGAAATATTTAGGAAATCATACGGTGGTAAGCGATTTTATCAATACTAGGCTATTTAATGGCACTTTGCGCCTATAATCTATTTTAACGTTTAATTGTGGCTCTATCTGTGAACATCTTCTCTTTGTACATTATAAAACAATAAAAAAAATAGTTCGCTGATAAAATAATGTTTTTTCTTGGATTTTCAAAATCTTACATAAATAAACTTTTTTGTAGGCTATTTTTGAAATTTTGATAATTCATAACCTTCCCATGGGTCATGTGCGAACATTTTTATTAATAATTCCTTCTTTAAATGTGGCTAAACTTCCAAACATAAACAATATTTAACTCAAAAATATTTCGCTTTAGAAGTTTAGTAAGTGGCCAAAAAAAAAGAAAAAAATGAATGATAAATATTACAAATTTGCAAAGTTTTATTCATATAACGAGAATTTTATACTAGAACTCTTCCTACATTTTAGTTTTGCTTAATTTTCCTCATTGGAAGCTTGAAGAGGCTGTAAGCATAATTTTAAGTGACCTCTCAAGCAAAGATGGAATTATCCGATCCTCAACGATACCTTGAAACATTTATCTCATCAAAATGTTTTTAAAAAAAATTTCAAAGCTTTTTATGCTGATAATAAATTTATTCATTTTTGTTGTAGAAATACGCAAGTCATTTTTGTAAAGAAACACACAATCGAAAATAATCAGTTTTTTAATGATATATACATTACCGTTGTAAAATGCAAACGGGTAATGCCATCTTTGCATGGAAAGAAAGGTCTTATGCGAAATGGGAAAATAGTTTTGGGAAAATTTCGCATTTTCTCGCAATCCGTTCGTAGAATAAAGCAAAAGATTCTAGAATTTTTCGCGAAATTTCTCACAAAATTCCTCATAGTTTTTACTTCCTCTGGCAAAATAAATTTCCGCGAAATTTTTCGAAAAAATTTGCAAAATACGTAAGAAAAATTGCTCAATTTTTCAGGGAGAGCCCCTTTAAGTAATATAACATCCCACAAAATATATTGTCAGAGGCAGTGAGAGGTATATTTGTGAAAAGACGATAAAATATTTTTCCAGTTTTCTATTTTCAATATAAATACCATGGCTGAATGTAATACTAAACATTCTTTTGATAAAGAAATTGGCAAAAAGAGAGACAAGACATTATTGAAAATTCAATTCAATAAATAAAGCTAAAAATAAAAAAGGAGAAAATAAAAATTTTTTACTTCTTTTTTGAATTTTTCGGAACAGAATTGTTCGTTTTTGGTATTTGCTTTTGAGGTATACATGAGTATTTAGTGCACTATCCCTTTAAAGTATTTTATTTAACATTTAAAACCTATAGTTCCTTTTCAAGCAAACCAAGTCAGTTGAATGTGATGCATAAATGCAATATTTCGGAACATTTTTCTCTCACCCTTTTTATTTAGACAGAGAGAAATGCACAATTAGGGCTGGGCCTTTGCAGACTTTTTTATTCGTTCGTTCACCCCATAAAGGCTGGAGTTGAATTGATGTATACTCTACAACTTTGTGACCTCGTAGCTTCTTTAGTTTTGATTTTACTCACAAGTATGGTAAAAACAAATGTATCTGGTTACAAATCAGTACTATAGAATATTTTAATTTTTCGCGCATCTTTCTTTAGTTTAACGTGGTTAATCGAGTTTAACGTGGTTAATCGAGTTTAACGTGGTTAATCGAGTTTAACGTGGTTAATCGAGTTTAACATGGTTAATTGAGTTTAACGTGGTTAATTGAGTTTAACGTGGTTAATCGAGTTTAACGTGGTTAATCGAGTTTAACGTGGTTAATCGAATTTAAGGAGGTTAATCGAGTTAACAAAGTTAATCGAGTTTAACGTGGTTAATTGAGTTTAACGTGGTTAATTGAGTTTAACGTGGTTAATTGAGTTTAATGTGGTTAATTGAGTTTAACTGATCTAACGATTCAGATTATTGATTCAGATTGGTCATTTTTTTTCGTGTCTTAATTTTAAAAAATTTCCGAACAGAATGATGGCCAGGCCTAAGCACAATGTGAGAATGGGAGCAGAACTGCAAAACTGCATTTTATTTTAATAAACACAAACTTTTTTCATCTAACTTGTTATCCACGGTTTATTGAAAGGGTCAAATATGGAAATATTTTGAAAAATGCACAAATTTTACTAACAATGATCTTTTTGCGCCTGCTTTACGTTAAAATAAGGTAAACTGCACCTAACATCAAAATCTTATATGTTTTTAATCATAACTTATACACTTTTTGAAGCGTCATTTGCTTTTCTCCTACTGGTCATAAATTTGACCAATTATCATTTAGTCTAGTTCAGTGGGACTTTACTGGTGGCTACAACAAAGAAAATAATATTTTTTCTATTAACATGTTTATGTTTAGGACGAGCAGATCTATTAACATGTTTATGTTTAGGACGAGTAGATCTATTAACATGTTTATGTTTAGGACGAGCAGATCTATTAACATGTTTATGTGTAGGACGAGCAGATCTATTAACATTTTTATGTTTAGGACATCAGATCTATTAACATGTTTATGTTTAGGACGAGCGGATCTATTAACATGTTTATGTGTAGGACGAGCAGATCTATTAACATGTTTATGTTTAGGACGAGCAGATCTATTAACATGTTTATGTTTAGGACGAGCGGATCTATTAACATGTCTGTTTATGCTTGTATCCTTCTATCTATCAACTAGCCATCCAAACACCGTTAAGAAGGAATTAGGTAAATCTTCTTACTTATAAGAATTGTTCTCAAAAAACAAAAATAGCAAGAATCAATAAGTTATGAACATAAATAAGTTGATTTGATTTTATAAATTTGATTGCTTGATGATACCACAATGATATAAAACGTGTAAACTCACATTTTTCAAGATGATTTAATATATTTACTGTTGCTCTGAAAGTCAGCATTTTTAAATAATCATTCTCAAAATTTCACGATTTTTTTCACTTAAACTGTTTTTTCCTCAATATATAAATATAACCTAAAAATTATGCTGATATTCCTAAATATGATTATTCTAGGAAGTCACTTGTGTGTGGTCCTGGGTCTAATGAGTAAAGAGATAGGACTTACCGTACTAATTATTAATATCCTCTTTATCCTCTTAACCAGGTTAATTAGCATATTCATTCATATATCTATTCATTCTTTCATATATCTATTCATCCTTCATTTATTCTTCCTTTCATCCTATCATACTTTCATTCACCTATAATTCTATTCATCTTTTCATCTATTTATGTATATATATTCATATATATTCATTTTTTCATTTATTCTTTCTTTCATTTATTCATCCTTTAATTCATTTATAATTATATTTATCCTTTCATTTATTCATATATCTATTCATTCTTTCAGTCATCAATATGTTCTAGATTGAAAACCCCTCGGTGCGCCTAAGGATTATACAAGATGAATAGCGCTAGACCTCTTAAATTACGTTCCAAGCCCCAATTGATGAATGCATTCAACTATTTATCTATTCGTCTATTCATTATTTATTCGTTAGAGGAACTGGCGTATAATTAATTTATTTCTCTATTTCTCTATATATTCATTCTTTCATGTTTTCATCCTCCTACTCCTACTCTATACTCCTACTCCTACTCCTACTCCTACTCCTACTCCTACTCCTACTCCTACTCCTACTCCTACTTCTACTCCTACTCCTACTCCTACTCCTACTCATACTACTACTCCTACTCCTACTCCTACTCTATACTTGTACTCCTACTTCTACTCTATACTTCTACTTCTACTCCTACTCCTACTCCTACGTTGTCCTAGGACTGATAGGGTTGACTGGAGAAGGTTTGTCTCCAGTATATGTCTCCTGGTTCTACTAACAACTGCAAGGATTGCGTATAATAAAACTCAGCCATCATTCATAGATCAGGTAGTATCATCTTCTCCTTTTTTTTATTTAACAGGCTTTGACCGAATGCCTAAAAAAAAGATTTAAAATGTTGCGCGAAGCGTCAAAATTTGTTTCTTCAACTCAAAGACAAATGTTCTGTTTGTGCATTGTCTTTAAGCGACTCCAATAATCTAACTATTTTTTTATTTTCCAAAATTGAAGCAAATGCTAAATTTTTTCTCGAAGGGACTCACCAAACAATTCATAAATCGTTTTTTACTTTTCCTAATCTTCTGTCAGAGTAAAGAAAATGTATTATGTAATACAAAATATTTGTATGCAATTTTAAAACGTGACAAAAATCTTGCCACTTAAAGGCAGTATTCGCGAAAAATTAAAGGGGGTATAGGCTTAATGCGATAAAAAATCGCTTTTGATTGCCACTAATCTTACTTCTATCTGTTGCGTCTATAAGGAGAAAATTGTTAAAGACGTCTCATACCGAATAACTTAGCGTCCATACAAATTCAGAAAAATGCAACATACAACTTAGACCGTAAAAAATCAATTTAATTTCAAACAAATCATTCAGATATTACAACCTATAGTCATCGATTATCTTTCGTCACATTTGTATATAGTTTATTTTTTATAATATTTTATTTTTTTAGAGAACATTTTAACGGATTTCGAAAAATGTGAGTGGTGCGCGGCATTCTTAGATAATTGCGCAAGCAACAAGAGAAATAATCAAATTCAAAACAAATTAAATAAACTTAAAAAATATTATTATCTATAAACTATATACAAATGTGGCGAAAGATAATCGATGACTATAGGTTGTAATATCTGAATGATTTGTTTGAAATTGAATTGATTTTTTACGGTCTAAGTTGTCTGTTGCAATTTTCTGAATTTGTATGGGCGCTAAGTTATTCGGTCTTTAACAATTTTCTCCTTTTAGACGCAACAGATAGAAGTAAGATTAGTAGCAATCAAAAGCGTTTTTTATCGCATTAAGCCTATACCCCCTTTTATTTTTCGCGAACACTCCCTTTAAAGCGTGAAAAGTTTTAAAAAAAACCTCTCATTTCTTACGTTAATTAGTCATTTACAAACAAAATTCAAGATTTTTACATTTTTATATGAAACAAGAATAGATAGAACAGTTTAACTGGTTAAATTGTTAAAAAAATAGTTAGTTTGAAAACCTTCATTTTTGGGACAACCTGCAATAATTATGAAAAAGAACAATTTATAAAAAAAATGTTTTAGGATAATCCTGCCAGCCATGACAAGAACTTCTTAACCAGGTTAGTTTGTTATGAACATATTACGAGGACCACGGGCAGCCGTAGTACATTTGAATTTCCGTGCCGGGTCAATCTTTCCGGTCCCAGTTTATACTGTATTGCCCGGACGCAGACACTCAATAGGACTAGCCGGTGTAACAAGGTTGACGCAGTCAGACTCTGGGTTGAATTTACTTTAACTAAAGGGTCAGAGGTGCGTGGGACCCTTCTGAAAGTTTTGTTAGGAATGTTTGTGCATATACATTGTGTGGGCCACGTGTTGATATAAATGTTTTTGAAACACAATGAAAGGCACATTTTAAGAAAATATTTACGAGGCTCGCTTTGAAAGATAATATTTGTGAGGCATGTTTTGATGAACAAGTTCTGTTAGGCACATTTAAAGAGAAAGTTTTGTGAGTCACATTTAATATATAAACTTTGTGAGACACGCTTTGATGAATAAGTTTTGTTGGGAAGTCTTAAAAGACATGTGTAATAAGTAAATTTTGTGATGTAATCTGTATGAGGAACGTTTGTTTGGTAGATTTTGAAAGGTATTAGTTGAAAGATAAGTTTTATGTGGAATGTTTTGTCAGGGTGTTTTGATTTAAAAATTGATAATTAATTAAACTTATTTTAAAATTTGATTATATTTATTAATCATATTTATTCGACTTCAAAGTATGATCAATCCAAATTATACATACGAAAGTCTAGACACTGAACCCGCCTAACCAGAAAAGGTTATTTATATTATATTTGTTCTTGTACTGCAGGTTGAGAGCCTATATCTATCTGG